ACCACGTATGGGGCAAAGTGGGGTAACTGTACTTTTTTATACATCCTTTTAAACTTCCATAAAAAAAAAAAATCAAATTTTTATAAAAATTTTATTATCAATTAACATAACCTGTAGATTGTAGGTATGAACAAAATTTGAAAAGGAAAGAATTGATTTTTAAGTTAATTACAGGTCTTCAGACATTAGCGTCCTCGCTTTGCCCCATGTTCCCCTACAACTTTCAGTGACGCACTGTAAATAAATAGTTCTTTTTAATTAATCAATGCAGATGTTTGAAACATATTTATAACGACTTATCTACTTTAGTATTAGTTCTAGAAATACCATTAGTTTTCTTTATCACTCATAAGTGAATTATGTTGGAAACACTTTAAACACTGAGTGTTCCAATCATGACTATACACCTGTCCTTCAATTACTTAAACTTGACACTCTTTAATAATAGTTAAATTATATTTCCAACAATGTATAATATTAAATGTATAATCTGGAAATGTTGAGAAAGCAAATGCACCATGTTGTATTATAAAATAAAACAAAATAAGTCATAACACAGTCTAAGGGCCGTTCTTACAATGTCCGGTAAAGTGTCGGTTAATACTAACCGTCTGATTACTGGCAGAATTCGGCCGGTTAAGTGTCGGTTAACTTTAACCCGACATTGTAAGAACAACCCTAAGTAGGTTGTTCACAATTAATTTAATCTACACGAAAAATAATTCATAAAGTTTGAAATAGTTCCACATTGGTGAAATTTGAATATTCATTACCACAGGTAAATGCACATATTTGTGTTTTAATATTTAATTATTATATTCTCACCTATAAATATATATTGAGTAAAATAATCTCGACAAAATAGAATAATTATTCAATAATGAATATTTACATAATTTTGAAATCGATATTTTTTAGAATTTATAATAGGTATTGGTTTACGTAGGTATGTAGGTACATTTTAGGCTCATAACACGTTAAACAATTCAAATAGTTCAGCCCATAACTGCAATCGTCTATTCGTCTAAATAGAGAGAGGATCCGCGTTATTAGTTTTAACGACATTCAAAAACTACAATGACACATTATTATTAAACAAAATAATAATATGCTGGCTGTATAAAACAGTAAAATATTTGTACCTAATTAAAAATAAATACGGAATTTCCTATATCTGGCCAAATCAGAATATTTATCGGTATCAAATATACATGGATACTAATATACATTCGTCAGACTACTTTGAACCATAGCCGAGTAAAGGTGTCCGAGAAAACCGTTGTCTATAGAATAACATGTAATACTCACTCTAAAATCAATAAAAAAATCCTCCAAACTCAACCACTATTACTACGGCAAAGAATTTTATGTTTTCATGTTTCTGTTACACCAAGAGTAAAAAATTACCCAAGTTGTATGCAATAAATAATAGTTTCAACCGGTGGTTATTGTAAAAAAAATGAATATTTTCTTTAGACAAGAGTATGAAATCCTTTGACATAGTAATAGTGGTCGCAACGAAGGGTTAGTGAGTATTTTTTATTTACTAGAGAGGAAGTATAACAGTTATAGTATAACGAGAAAACAGTTGTCTAAAGAAAATCTTCATTTTTTTACATTGTTAACAATAAACGCCAGTTAAAATTATTTTAATTTTTTCCGACTTTTTAAAAGTAATTACTGTTGCCGTCTAGACGCAAACATGAAAATCTTCGCCATATGGAATTATAATTTTTTGGGTTGTATTAACATACAATGCGTGATCGTATTGTAGAATATGTACCTTTTACTAGAGAAGTAAGAAAACTTGTGTAAATATAATTAAGAATTAATTTATAACAATAAAAAAAAATTTATTATTTCATAATTTGTGTTTTTTACTTGAAATAATTATTTCAGGCTTACAATAAGGTTTGGTAAAATATTTTTGTGTGAGGGGGAAATACGTGGACAACAGGTGTTGACAATCAGTTCGGTAAATCGGAGTGCTCTAAGCGGACATTCCCCCTTGAAAAATGTTTGTTACCCTGGAAAAGCTGACTGTGAATATACAAATATTTACTACTAGCCTCCTCAACTTCGTATTAGGAGTTAAATTATCAGTCTGAGCCGACACATATGGTACTTGAAGGCAGCCAAATCCGTGACAGCACTGGCAAGGCTGATGCCAAACATATATGCTTGCAATTATGATTTATAATATTGTATTTTGTAATAATTACTAACAAAATAATATGATTACAAATTACAATACAATTATAAATATTGTAACTATAGTAATAAGTGGAATTCAATGTAATAATTTTTTTTTTTTTTAATAGATATATTATTATGTAGCCATGTAGGTATTATGTTTTGTAATAATAATTACTGCTGTACTCTACCTTAGACAGTCATCAATTTTTTATTTTTTTTTATTCAGCTTAAGCCCGGCTATAATGGTCATTAGCTGTTTTTTTGTTTGTAAAGAGGAGGAACGGTTGGAACAGTTGGATGTGTGGCAAAGATTTGTAGTTAAAAATCCCGGGTGGTCACCCATCCGGGAGCTAGCAACACCGGCCGATACGTACACTCAGAGCATTTCCTCTAAACATTGGCTGTGTCCCTATACGTTGCTTGCTATTTTGTGATATTTTAATTATTGTTATATAAGTTATGAGCGTTTAAATTATTACAAATTATTTTTTTATTATATATATAATAATCTCGTGTCACAATGTTTGTCCGGAATAACCTCCGAAACTACTGGGCCGATCTTGATGACATTTTTTACACTATGTGTAATTTGGTCCAACTTAAAAGATAGGTTAATTTAAAAAGGGAGAGGACCAACCCCGGGAGGTGATCAAACGGAAATTTTGAGATTTCCGATGGAATTTTTTGTTTTTAAATGTTTACCATAGGTTTTTAAGCTATTACAATATAATAATAATAATAAAAAAAAACTATTTGCTTTACTTTTTAAATATAAATTGTAATATAATATCGAACTATAAAAATGTGAAATGAAAATCTCTGTACTACTTATCTCTGGAACTACTTATCAGATCTTCTTGATTTTTTTTCAAACGAAAGAGTATTTCATGGATAAGGTTTATATGAAAAAAAAATGTTAGGAAAATCCACCGGTGTATAATATATTGGTTGTTATTGGTTAATAAGGCATGTTTGTTCATTTGTATTTTTATCTTTTGGCAATATACATATATATAAATCAGGGCTCGGAAGTTGTGGCAAATGCATATTTTTTTTGGTTTGTCCTAGAACACCCAAAGTAAGATACAAATATGTTTCACACTTATCTGATGTCATACACGAAATTTTATTTTGCCATTTTTTGCATATTTATGATTTTTATTGCTATTTTGCCATTTTAAGGTTTTTAGTGCTATTTTTGGGTATATTATCAGATAATTTGGAAAATAACCACATTTAGTTGAAAATAATGATTTTATTTGGTTATATTTTTAAAAATATTCAAATTATTGGAAATAAAGCGAATAATATTTCATGTTTTTACAGTTCTACAATTCATCGACGGTCCGATGTATTAATAGTTATATTATAATAATTTTTTTTTGTAATGAATAATAATTAATAAAATAATAACATTTAATTTTTTTTTGTAATAAATTTATAATTATAATTTTTTCAAGTTAAATGCATATTTTTTGATTTTTCGTGCTATTTATAGCGCATATTTTAGAGTTTTTTAGTGCTTATTAAGGAGCTAAAAATTACCATTTTTAGTGCCACAACTTCCGAGCCCTGAAATATAATAAATACAAGAAGATCTGATAAGTAGTTCCAGAGTTTAGTCTGTATATTCCATGTATTTATATAGTTATATATATATATATAAATTAATGTCTGCGGGTAGTTTAGACATCCGGAAAGAAGATAGGTTAATTTACTAAAGGTTAAATTTGTTTTTTTTTCATCGGATTTTAGTACGGTTAGGTTAGGATAGGATTTTGTATAAATTGATTATAATAATCCACTATAGGCAAAATTAAGTAAAAACGATTAACTTGGTATAACTTTGATACTTAAGAGTTAAACCATACACTTACGTACAAACAGCACGGAGTCCGCGATCTATCACAGGTAGATTGCCTACCTGATAATGTACTGTAGCGAATCAGAATTTTTATTCGGGGCAACGGAAAAATTAAGATACCGAATATTAAATAACGAATTAAACAAACTTTGAGTCATATACAATTGATACATTTAACGGGGCAACGAATCAGTTAGTAAATTGTATAAAAATTAAAATATTAAAAAAACCAAAGTATGGACACCGGTTACAGGTAATGTTCTTAGCTTGTAGTTTGACAATAGGTGAATTCATTCTAAGATTGAAAGTAAAGACCCAGCTGGGTTGGTTCTTCTATAGATACAAACATTATCTATGTTGCGCGTGGGCCAGAGAAAACAAAATCAACGTACCTAATGTATTATAATCAAGGTCTATAAAATGTATAATATTATATTATAAATTACATATTATTAAACAATCCATTTAACAGACAAATAATTATTTTCATTTAAGAACGATTTAATTCGGACAAAGTGGTGGCAAATTTAAATTAATATTTACCATTCAAAATTCTGATCTTACAGTAACCAAATTAATTTGTCACGACCATTAAACGTTAAGTCCTTGAGTACCAACGTTAATTAATGATTTAATAATTTTTTTTATTTAAACCAGAATATTTTAAAAAATAATATTCTAATATTTTTCTTTCAATGACCAGTGACCACAATAAATGATGTAAGTAGGTATATTAGCTTGTAATTTTGGATGAAGATCCGATTGAGTATATATTTATTGAAACCAACCTATTTGGTACCTACTTAACGATAGTATACAAATTACAGCAAAAATAAAAATTATAATTCACTTGATATTTTATTTGTATTATATTTTTTACTAACAATTTATGATTGAACATTCTGCTTATTACTCGTAAGTATAATATGTAATAAATTTTTCACCACCTTTGTATTTGTACGATTAATCGTAGTGGAAAAGGGTTATTACGTTTTTTACGTACGCGATGTTTTTCATTCTCCATTTTCTCTTTCTTTGTAAATTCTTGAAACTCCACCGTAAAGGTATCATCTTGAGTTGGATTTTCCATTTTAATTTCGTCCATAAAAATGTTATAAAGCATATTATAATCATGCTTTTGACCCCATCCAATATACATAAAGTCGGTTTGGCTGTTAACAGTTTTATTTTATACGGTTAGAATTCTCTCTTATCAAATATTATAATATTAAAAGTTACAATTATTATTAGTAAAAACTTATAGTAAAAACATAACAACAACTTTACTGTAGTTTATCTAACATTCAAACAGGCTTTAGAATATTATTTAAACACTAACCACATTTATTGCTTAAAATCTAAAGCAATAGTTAAATAGGTTTGCATTGGATCATCGCGATTATCGTTAGTATTTTAGTACCTACTTATGCAATTGAATAATTTGGTTTTCATGAACAAAAATAATCCCTCAATATTTCTTAGGGCCTAGTCATGGTTATCTACTATTAGATAACCGTGGTCCTAGTTAGTCTGACTATATTACAATTTGTTTCATAAATGTAACAAAATAGTTGTAAATTTATACTATTTTGTATTACTTACTATAACCTCGTGGCTCGTATTATTAGTTATATATCTCAAGTACATACGTACAAATATTGGTTTGGCTTAGGGCTCATACACCCATAAATAAGCTGTATCGTAGCAGCTAGATCAGTCACCCCCTCCTAAACAAAGATATACCCACCAATTTAATAGTTATTTAAAATATAAATATATTTAAATACACCAAATAAAATTATTTACTTCCTTTTTGTTAGTAATTATTATCGTTATTTTATTTTATTTTTGACAATAAACGTGATATAATTGTAACATTATAACTGGTTTAATAAACTATAATAATTAGTTAAATTCTTAAAAAATAAAAATCACTAGACACACTTATTTTAAGAAATGATGAAAATGTTGATAGTTTGTAGATATATTTTGAATACGTTTAAATGTTACATACAGACTGTAAGCAACTGCAAAAGCTCCAGGCCATACATGAGATTTCATTATTGCTTGAGAGTAACGAGGATCAAACGGAGAGCAAAGAACACCTTTCCACGCTGATGTATTGTCAACAGAGATATCATTTCCTAAGTTTCCAAATAAATCACCCCAAGAATTTAATACATTTTCACCATAACACAAATTCTTCAGCATTGCCTTCGTGTTTTTCCGAATGGGACAGATTAGTAAAACCTGATTTATAAGTAACTCCATTAATAATGTCTATGTGAGGATTCTTATGCACCCAATAATTTACATTCGTTAAATTAATATTAGAAATGGATTTGGTATTTTCGTTGAATATAAGGTCACCACCACTTTCTGAAATCAAACATGAAAACTTAGTTCATAGGTATTTATAAAAATTAATATGTTTATATTCTATACATAATCATGGGAGACTTAGCCCCCCCCCCCCAAATGTCAGTCAGTTCCTCCCAATCAAATCTAGTAATTAGTACTAATTTTTATATTCCGTGGTACTAAGCATATGAGGGGCCACAATGCAAAACGTACTTTTTCCATTTTTCTCTTTTTTCAGTAGAGCAGGTTTTCTGTTTAGGGTATTTTGAATTGGCTTAGACCATGCCGGAGGATTTTAAAAAAATCTAAAAAATATTCTCATATTGTTTATAAATATATTTACTTTCTGTTTAGTTTATTTATTGCCTTTTTTTAATATATAAAAAAATCGTTTTCTTCAAAACGGACCTTTTCCGGAATAAGCTCGTTTTGCATTAAATTTGGAAAAAGTACGTTTTGGAAAAATTATGAAAATTTTTAAACAAAACGTACTATTTCCGGAAATCGAACATTTTGTAAAAAAAATCTATGAATTAGTCCATTTTGCAAAAACAAAATTATTTTTGATAATATGCACCTATTCCGGAAAAAGGACATTTTGAAATAAATGTTTTAATTTATAAAAAAATTATATTTTATATAATATTTAAAAAAATAAAGAATAATGAAATGGTAAATAATATTAAAGAGTTAGTATTAATATAACACAATATTTTTAAACTTCATTTATATTTTTATTTTGTTTTTTTGTTATATTTACCTACCTTGGTAAAATTTCAAACAACATATTATTAATAATAATAATAATAAATAACATATTATAACTACAAAATATTATATAATAAGTAGTATCACAATACATTTTAGTAACATTTTAGAGTATCAAATAAAATAACTTTTATAGACTAGAAATAATGAGTTACCTACTATATAATAGTTTGTTTACCTACCTTGGTAAAATATCAAACAACATAATAATAATAGTAATAAATAACATATCATATTATAACTACAAAATATTATTTAACAAGTAGTATCACAATACATTTAATAACATTTTAGAGTATCAAATAAAATAACTTTTATAGACTTGAAATAATGAGTTACTATATAATAGTTTGTTTACCTACCTTGGTACAATATCAAACAACATAATAATAATAGTAATAAATAACATATCATATTATAACTACAAAATATTATTTAACAAGTAGTATCACAATACATTTTAGTAACATTTTAGAGTATCAAATAAAATAACCTTTATAGACTAGAAATAATGAGTTACTATAAAATAGTTTGTTTACCTACCTTGGTAAAATATCAAACAACATAATAATAATAGTAATAAGTAACATATCATATTATAACTACAAAATATTATATAACAAGTAGTATCACAATACATTTAATAACATTTTAGAGTATCAAATAAAATAACTTTTATAGACTAGAAATAATGAGTAACTATATTATAATAGTTTATTTACCTACCTTGGTAAAATATCAAACAACATAATGATGATAATAATAATAAATAATACATTATAACAAAGTATATAATATTATATACCTACTTTATATTATATAAAGAAGTATAAAAATACATTTTAGTTATATTTTTGAGTATCAAAATATAAAATAATAAATTATCAACTAGAAATTAGTTGCCTATTTAAACATATTAGGTTGTTAAAGTGTATCTTCTTCATACTCTTGGCAATCTTCTTCAGCTGATGGTTCAGTGACTACATCATTTAAAATATCATTATAAAAATCTTTAGCATCTGGTGGTATGTTGAAATACTTTAATAGTTTTTTTACATCATCCCTTTTCTGTGGTTTTACATGACTAGTTTTAGGTAGTTTTTCAACTAATCCTAAATTTTCCAAATTTCCATTTTTTTTTAGTACAGGAACTCTAATTGGTTCTCCTTCATATGTCTGAGAAATACCAACAGTCTTTTTTCCTTGGATATAAGAAAACCGTTTTTGTTCAGTACTTTTAAACTCTGTTTTTTTAATAATTTTTTTAGCTGCTTCTTTATAATCCATAATAGAGTAATCCTTATCAAAAATTTTGATAGTAGTGTATTTCTTAAAAACATTATAATATTGTTCAGGAGAAATTATATTTTCCATTTGTCTAAGGTCTTTCTCTATTCGACCGAAAACTTGGTCAGGGGGCATATAACTATGCCCACGAACTGGAAAATAATGGTTGATTTCTTTAATAATTTTGGCTTTAAAGTTAACAAAATGTAATAATGCAATCATTACATATTGGTTCTTATTTTGAGCCGAACAGGAATCAGAAAACAAGTTGATAATAGTAGGAGGATCATTTTGACTTTCAAACTTTGTGTCAATAATTTCTAAAAAATCAATGAGCGCAGATGCAACTTCATTTGGACCTCTCCCACTTTGAGTTTCAAGCCATGTGTACATATAACAACTATCAGAGTTTTGTTTTTCTGAGTTTAAAACAAATGTAAGATTGTAGAGCCATACTTGCCTAGAATAAAAGGTATCAGTCACACTTAGTTTTGGCAGGGGCTGATTTTGCATCATATCAAAGCTGATGTTAATAATTGATTTATTGTCTGTTTGTTTCATGAGTTTATGAAAAACCTTGCTACGCTGTTTATGGGAACTTAAATTTTCAATCAAATCAAATTTAGTATTTTCGTCAATTGCATTTTTTATTTTTATTTCTTCCTCGGTACAAAAGCTACAAACGTCTTGACGGGGGTGCCCAAATCCCAAATTGAAGTTATTAGTAAAAATAGAATAAAACTTACTGAAAGAAGCAACTGGTGCATTATTTATTATCATTTTATTTTTCCAAAGTAAAAACATTTTACTTACTGATAATCCAGGTGGAAGATACGAACGACCTGTATCTGCCCTTGAATAATGGCTTTTCTTAGCTTTAAATAGGGTAATATGTTCAATTATAGATGCTGTTACTTGTTGATCATTTGGATTTTCATGTTTACCTCCACGTTTCTCTTTTGGGCTGCATAAGTCAAGTTGAAAGTTTTTAGCAATTATATTCAAACGTTTTCGGGATATAGAAGTTATTGAACTGAATACTGCAGCACATACAGGAATTTTCCCTTCTTTGGTTGGAATATAATATTTTACTGAGTTTCGGTCTATTGAATTATTTCTGGTTTCATTTATTTTTCGTCTATCAGTTCTTAAAGGTTTTTTTACAGTCATCAATGATATTATAAATTTATCCTGGTCTATTTTAGATTCTAAAGAGCGTAGGTTTTGTTTAAAAAGATCCAAACATTGAGCATCAATCTCAGACACTTTACAAAATGGTTTACTTTTATCTTTATGGATACAATTAATAATTAAACCAGGTTTAATTAAATTTCTGTTGTATTGATCAATTTTTCTTTTGTTTATTTTTTGCTTTTTTCTTCCCCCATTTACAATTTCAATATTTTCTGAATATTCAGGATCTAAAAACAATTCTTCCATGTTTTCTGTGGATGGATTAGCAACTTCAAGTTGTGGAACAACAACTATTAATGGTGGCTGAATTATATCCGAAGACCATTCTGTAGGATGAATTGTCTCAGATGGAATCTCTTTATTTAAAACTGTATTTGAATCAGTAATGTTATCACCATCAATCAAGAATTCAATATTATTGAGATCCAAATAATTATCTGAATCATTCTATGAAAACAAATCAATATAAAATAAGTTGTTTTATATAAAATATTATTATGTGAACAAAAAAAAACTATAAAATAATATTATATGATAAGAACAAAACTAGTACCTACCAAAAATGCTTCAAATAGAGAAACATATCACTACAGTATATTAAAATTACCTTGTTTTCCCAAATTAATTTAGATTATTAATTTGAAGTAGATATTTTTTTTCCATTATTAGTTATAATAATTATAACCATTATAAAGTAGGTAGGTATTATGTAGGTAATTTTTGCATTTTGCACCCTACATGTCTATATATATATTAAGTACTTTCTGTGGTAATATATTGCTTTAGTATTTTATCGTTATGTTAAAATTTAAATTTTGATAGTAAATAGATACTATTATAATAAATAGTTTAGTTTAAATGATTAACATCAACTTACATAAATCTGACTGTCTCTATCTAATCGTTCCATTTCCATATCTGCCAAGGTATTGTCCACAGTAAAACAATTATTATTATTAGATTCATCATTTGAGGAAGAATTAAGCCAAGTCTGTACTTTATCCTAATTTTATAACACATTATAAACATTATACAAACTGTATCATATAACACATCTATACATATTATAATATATAAACAATATTAAATTACCTGTAGATAATCATTATTCACTTTAGTATTTGAATTTATTATGTTACCATAAGTTAAACATTTAGGTTCAAATGCCTGAAACAATAATAAATAATAGAGCATTAAGTAAATCATACATTTTTCAAGTAGGAATACTTTCATAAAAATGTACATTACAAAAAAACATATAAGTTTGTTTACTTACTGAAGTCGCTGCATTAAGCATTTTATTTATGCGTGATCTTCTCATTGTGATTGTGGCAGGTAATGAGGAAAATATTATAAAATATAAGGTAATATTTTCTTAAAAATATAACAAAGAAATCATTTCAAAACATTAAAAAGGAGATTATTAATTACATTTTAAGTTTTAACAGTAGAATATAATATTTATATCATGACAAAATACGAGCACATTTCTAATCAGCAATACGTTTTTGGAGGGAAATGGTAACATATCTCACATTGTAATGAAGTTAGTAACGAGATAGATACATTTTATGAAAATTTGAATTACGCAGAATTTTAAA